CCCCAGGGACACCTGGAGGGAGCCCAGAGGGGGAAGAGCAAGCACTGCCTTGGACTAGTCCTCTGCTGCGGGGCTGGGCTCCTGGGATGGAGGGAGCTCATGGCAAGTGGGCAGCACTGCAGAGCGACAGCTCTGCCCAGGAGCAGCTCCTCTGCAAAGGGCAGCAGGGCTGACGGTTCTGCCTGCAGGCATGGAGGGGTGAGGAGAGAAGCAAGAGACCCCGAGAGCTCTCTGGAGAAGAAATCTGCACAGCCCTTAGCACAGTAAGTCTCTGGCTACAGGGCAATGCACATGAGTTTCCTGGAGGGGTCTCCTAGAGCTGGCACATCCCAGGGCAGATAGGATCTGGCAGGGTGGCTCTCAGGGGTTCTTCTGTGTGGAGAAGGACGTGCTGCAGAGAAGGGCTTCCCTGCTGCACCCGCTGAGGGACAGGGCATGACAGCTCCCTTCTTCCAGGTATGGCTACAGGGGTGTGCTGCCAGGGGTGCCCAGGGGTCCTCCAGAGCAGGGTCCCGGCACCGCAAAGGGCTGTGTGCTGGGGCAGGCACTCTGCTGCCTGCCAGGGTCAGAACCCAACCTGCCCCGGGAGCTCCCCATGGCTTTTTGGGGAGAAGCTGTGGGTGGAAGGAGCAACCCCCAGCAGGGCAGGGTCCTTCTGCAGTTGAGAGGATGCTGCGTGGGTCAGGGCTGCTCACAGCTCCATATCACCCCCAGAACATTATTGAGGGAGTTTTGAAGAGGAAGATCAAGGTGGGGGATTCCTGAAAGGGAAGGTGTCTGTGCTTTAAGGTTTCTCCTCTTGGTTATGCGGGTGGGCAGCGTGTGAGCTGGGAATTTATTTCTCTGTTCTGAAGAAGGCACGGATACCGCAGATCCCATTAGGACTTTTCTGAGATTCCCCTGAGACCCTGCACACACAGAGATGCCCCCTGGCCCCCGCCAGGGTTGTCTACCTTCCATAAATGCCCCCAGGAATGAAAGAGGCAGTAAAACAAAATAAAGAGCCAACACTGTTCCGCAGGTGAGTGGACAGAGAGTGAATACTGTGTCAAGTCCATCCCGAGTTGATTCAATCACAGCTCACGCCTTGTTCTTATTTACCCATGGCTGTAGGGCAGGACTGACTGCCGCAGAGCCCACTGCAGAGTCCTGTCCTCCCAGGGGCAGCCTCAGCCCCCACAACCCAGTGCCTGAGCAAGGGAGCTGCTCAAAGCTCTCTGAAAAGGGAGAGGGAGTTTGGGAGGTTAAATGAAAAAAGGCTTTGCTTTTGCTCAGAGATGTCTCCCCTGATTTGTCCCTGCCTTTTCCTCCTTGGACAGGTCCCCTTGCCCAGAGGCAGCAAATGTCCAACAGCAGCTCCATCACCCAGTTCCTCCTCCTGGATTTTGCAAATACACCGCACCGGCAGCTCCTGCACTTCTGGCTCTTCCTGGGCATCTACCTGGCTGCCCTCCTGGGCAACGGCCTCATCATCATCGCTGTAGCTTGTGACCACCGCCTCCACACGCCCATGTACTTCTTCCTCCTCAACCTCTCCATCCTCGACCTGGGCTCCATCTCTACCACTCTCCCCAAAGCCATGGACAATTCTCTCTGGGACACCAGGACCATTTCCTACTATGGATGTGCTGCCCAGGTCTTTTTCTTTCTCTTTTTGATGTCGGCAGAATTTTCTCTTCTCACCGTCATGGCCTATGACCGCTACGTTGCCATCTGCAAACCCCTCTACTATGGGACCCTGCTGGGCAGCAGAGCTTGTGCCCACATGGCAGCAGCTGCCTGGGGCAGTGGGTTCCTCTATGCCTTAATGCACACTGCCAACACATTTTCACTACCCTTCTGCCAAGGCAATGCCATAGACCAGTTCTTCTGCGAACTGCCCCAGATCCTCAAGCTCTCCTGCTCAGACTCCTACCTCAGGGAAGTCGGGCTTCTTGCGGTTTGCATCTCTCTTGCTTTTGGGTGTTTTGTTTTCATTGTCCTGTCCTATGTGCAGATCTTCAGGGCTGTGGTGAGGGTCCCTGCTGAGCAGGGATGGCACAAAGCCTTTTCCACGTGCGTCCCTCACCTGGCCGTGGTCTCCCTGGTTATCAGCACTGGCATGTTTGTCTACCTGAAGCCCCCCTCAATCTCCTCACCAGTTCTGGATCTGGCAGTGGCTGTTCTGTACTCAGTGGGGCCCCCAGCAGTGAACCCCCTCATCTACAGCATGAGGAACCAGGAGCTCAAGGATTCCCTCAGGAAACTGATTCAATCACTTGTCCTTCAGCAGCAATAAGCTGCCCATGTCTCTTCCCAAGGGTTTTGGGATTTGGGCATTTGGTTTGTGATAGCCATGGTTGTCCAGGAATGTCTGCATTCACCTCACTTCTCCAGAGACATGAACCCAGTCTGTCCTACACAGAGTCCTTCATACACGTCTCTGGCACGATGGTGCAGCTGATTTCCCATGTCACACCTCTGTAATAAAAGTGGATTTTCCTAGTGCCAGTGTCTGGATGTTGGACTCCTCTTCCAAAGATGAAGTCAGGAACTGGCTGAAGAGGCCGTGCTGCTGTTCTTGGCTTCTCCATGGGCTCCATGGCGGGGGGGCATGGGATGATGTGTTGGGGAAGGAGGCCTGGGCAGGGTGATCTGCTCCAGTGGAGGTGGTGAATGATCAGAAGGGATCTGCCTGAGACTGTGTCCCCATGTCTTCCAGGCACCCCAGACTGCTCACTCTGCAGAGCAGCACCAGCAGCTCAGGGCTCTGTGGCAAGCAGAGGGAGAGGGTGGCCAGGCCAGCACAGACACATTCCCATGGGGAAAGGCTGTCTTGGGGAAGGGACATCGCTGGAGAAGCACAGAGGAGCAACTCTGCGCTTCCAGGGAGGAATAAATGACAAGGAGAAACCTCTTTCTGCATGCACCAGCTCGGGGCAGGCTGGTCTTTTGCTGGTGAGATGAGAAGAGCCGAGAGGTGGCCGGGCTGGGCTGGGAAGTGCCTGGGAGAGGAGAACAGCAAAGTTAGCTGAGCTGTGTGACCATGCAGGGTAAGGACTCACACCAGGGGGTTTGTGGCGCACAGCCAGGGCTCATGGAAAGGAGCAGAGACATAGCAGCGCCGGAAAGAGAGGGCTGCTCTGGAACAGTATTTGCTGCTCCGTTGCTTGGCCATCCAAGGGACAGGGTGGTGACGGGGCCAGGACAGGATGAGGGGTGATGGTTTTAAACCAAAACAGGGTAAGTTTAGACTGGATCTAAGGAAGAAATTCTTTACAATGAGGGTGGTGAAACACTGGCACAGGTTGCCCAGAGAGGTGGTGGAGACCCCATCCCTGGAAACACTCAAGGCCAGGTTGGACGGGACTCTGAGCAACCTGGTCTGGTTAAAGGTGTCCCTGCTCCCTGCAGGGGGGTTGGACTAGATGACCTCTAGGGGTCCCTTCCAACCCCAGACATTCTATGATTGTATGGAAGTCAAGAGCAAAACCAGCTTTGATCATTTGTTAAGAGAGCAAGGCTGAAGAAAGAAAATGCAAGGCTGCTGCTGACCGGGAGGGTAATCTAATAACAGCAGACTGGATGGGGCTGAGGGACTCGATGCCTTCTCTGCTTCAGTCTTCACTGAAAAGGTCTTCAGGACTCTGCACTCAGGGAGAGAGCTCGAGGAGGAGGGGAGTACATATTGTCAGGAACCTCATGAAATCCCACCAGGACAGATGCCAGTTTCTGCCCCTGTGGGAGATTAAACCTGGCAATGGCGGTGGCTGGGGGAAGAGACTGGTGGAGAAGACCTTGGTGGTCAGTGATGTGGGGAGGAGGCAACCATGTGCCCTGAAGCAAGGGAGGCCGACAGTATCCTGGTCTGCATGACGAGGAACATGGCCAGGAGATCAAGGGAAGGGATTAGCCAGATTACTGCATCCATGATTCAGATCCCCAAGAGAGAAAAGATGTTGGCACGGTGGAGCAGGTTCAGTGAAGGGCCCCCAAGGTGGTCAGGGGCTGGAGCACTTGGCCCTTGAGGAGAGGTCAAGTGGCCAAGATGCCAAGAATGGAAAGATTGGGGGACCTCATCTCAGCCTGGCATTATCTATGAGAAGGTCATGGAGAATAAGGAGCGAGTCACTTCATCATGGTGCATGGTGGGAAGACAAAACCGATGGGTGGAAGGTGAAAGAGGAGAGGTTCGGCCTGGAGATCAGGAAGAAACTTTTTCACCGTCAGTTCACTCCTGATTAAGTGGCCATGTCTAAGGGCAGCTTTTTCAGCAGTCTGTCTGGACGTATGTCCCTTCCCATGGCTCTCCAGCCCCCCCTCTGAGAAGTCTCATTAACTCCTGCGTCAACTCCTCAGTTATGTGCGTATCTATCCTTTCCTAGCTCTCTGTCTGAACCAGCTCTTGTATGGATATCCCTAGCAGAAGGTGGACCTCATGCGATGCAGCGTGGACTTGGCATAAGGTTGGGGAGAGTGTTTTAAAGCTTATTGAGTTGCATCATGTGTAACTGTTGGGTTTTGGCAATGAGGAGAAGTCCTCCTGTGCCTGGGTGCAGCCGGTTCTCTGAGGAAAGACGGTGGGAATTGATGCCAAGCAGCTGTAACCTCCAGCTGCAGCCTTCAGTGGAGAAGTCCGATGTGAGGACAAGGGGTGCAAGACCCAAGGGGCCAATCAGAGAAACGCTGGGGTTGGGGAGGTGAGGAGCAAGGTTGTCCATAGAGCGTCTGGCCTCAAGGGACTGCCTTCCCTACCTCTCCAGACCTCCTTAGGTGACCCTTTAGACAACATCACCTGGAGAATGCTGCTATCACATCTTCTGTAGAGGGAAGAAATAATAAAAACTGACCTTACAAAGTAAAAATCCTTTTATCTCAAAAGCTCCCTGAACTCTTCCTCTTTAACTATCACCCTGAAACCTCTCCAATTAGCTGTAGAAGTCTTGAAGACTTGAAGAAAATTGTGGGAAGAGACAAGGCACCTGAGGGCTCTCTGCCTTGTAACAAGCCCCATGGTGGTTTTAGCGCTGAGTCCGTGGACCTGCAACACTGAGAGGAGCTTGCACAAACTGCAGAAGGAGGCGAAGTCAGAAGCAAGCACTGAAGTTTCTTGGAGCATTAATGAGCCCCACTGAGGGCCATTACCAAGACAGCCTCCCCACGGACTCGTTAGAGCAGAAAATCGGAGGCAGTGATGACAGGCAGGCAAAGGCAAAGTGCCGGTGGCTCTGATGCTGTGTAAAGCCTTGGTGTGTTCTGTCAAGCCAAAGGCCAAGCTCTGACCCCAGCCCCTCAGAAGAGAGAACCTGTCCATCACACGTGGCTCAGGGCTCTTCCTGGGATATGGGGGTGATGCCAAGGGAAGGACAACACTACGTGACCTCCTGGGCTCCCCAGGGGGGTGCAAGTAGGCAACATGGCCCCAGTGCCATGAGGACAATGTGACTCCTCATAGGCCTTGGTGGCAGAGACATCAGCCATAGCTGAGGGGACAAAGACCTCAGTTCTGTCAGGGCCCTTCAGCCTGTCCAGCACCCTTGGCCATCTCCACCATAGGCTGTCCTGTGCTCTCTCTTTCCCACTACCAAAACACACGCAATCCTCTCGGAAAGGAACCATCAAGCTTTCTCAAGCTACTACTACACATTCCTGAGCCTCCACTTCACAAGGCCAATGAAGCCCCCACCTCTCAGCCTTTCCACACATGGCTCCTAGCCCCACCTTGGCAGACCTCCCATGGGACCACTCCAGTTCCTCCCCGCTCCTCTAGAAGAGGGACCCCCACACTGGGACACACTGTTCCAGACGTGGCCACACCAATGCTGGGTCACGCAGGGTCATAACTCCCCTTGCCTGGATGGCCACACTCCTCCCAGTGTAGCCCAATATGCACATGCCCATAATCATGTTTAGCATCACTGCCCTCTATGGCATCCCTCATAATGCCCAGGCCTTTCTCCTCAAGGTTGCTCCTCATGCAGTTCAGGTCTGAGCCTGCCTTCATATCCCCCGAATGTAGAAAATCAAAAGATCAGGAGGAGAAGATCCCGGCTCCTTGGAAAACTTCCAGAGATTTCTGTTGGCCAGATCGCGGAGTTTCTCAAGGCCCACTTGGGCTGAAGATCCAGTGTTTCAGCCTTTAGTGTGTGCTTGCAGCTGGCTCACCTGACACATGTGTCCCTGAGAAGATCAAGGCATGAAGAATTTAAAGGACATGACAGATAGTAAATTAAAAGAGGAGATATTAGTTAAACAAAATTGCAGACCGAGGTAGGTATTACCACGGTGACCGTCCCAGAAACACCGAGTGAGGGCACGGTGCAAGCAAAACCAGGCCAATGAGGAAAGGTTAAGCAGGGGTGAGATGTTTGGGTGGGAGGGCACGAGAATGATCAAAGGGAAGATCTTGGGAAGGGCAAGAGAGGGAAAAAGAAAATACAGGGTGAAGGCAAGGATCTGGTCACGGCTCTCTGGGGGTCGCTGTCCATCAGCCCTTTACCCGAGAAAGACTGGCTGGAGTGGGACACAAAGTTGCAGCTGATCTGACCGTCCTTAGGTCTGACTTATTGACATGGTCACAGGGAACCCGAGAGATTTCCCTACCATCATCAAGGGACGAGCCCTGTAGGAGATGGAAAAACAGAATCCTTTAGACTGGAAGTGACCTCGGGAGGTCTCTGGCCCAACCTTCTGCTCACAGCAGGGCCAGGTCAGGTCACACCAGCTTGCACAGGGCTTTATTTATTTTGGACCTAAAAACCTCCAGAGATGGAGGTGGCACCAGCTCTCTGGGAAGCCTTCTTCTTGCTCGTTGGCCCTTATCCTCGCATCATGCACCACAGTGTCACAGCCTGACTCTTCTGGTTACTCCTCTTCTCATTACTGGCTTCTCCTGGATCTGCAAAGGACTTCAGCACTGTGAGAATGGCATCACCCTCCTGCCATGGCTTTCTTGCCTGTGTCACCCTCACTTGTCACTGTGGTGTCATGCACAGGGGTTGCAGGCTGTGAGGAGGGCCCGATCTCAACAAGTAGTCGCTCACAATTAAACTTTGAACTCAAAATGTTTCAGGCCCAAGAGAGAACATCCACCGCTAGGAGGGGCTGGTGCTGGGCGGGGGGGGAGCATGCTCGGTTGTAACCCACGTGCAGAGGAGGAATTCATGACTCCAGGAATCACAGTAGCTCTCGTCAATAGTGAGAGACACAGCAAAACATTTGGGTGAGAAGGGGCCTTGGAAGTCCTAGACCAACCTTCCGCTCACATCAGGATGAGCACGGAATTCGCACCAAGTTCCACAGGGCTTTGCCCAGCAGTGTCCTGAAAAGGTTTTGAAATGGGGGCTTTGTTTAAGATTGTCAGGAGAATCCTGGGTGCCCTCTGAGGAAGCCAAGGGTGCTAGATAAGGAGAGCCACAGCATTCCTTGGCTCCCAACAAGCTGCTACCAGCCTCTGGTAGCTTCTAACAAAGTCCTTCTCCTGTCTGTGACCACAAGGTGCATTGCTGAGAGACTGCTGATGCTATTCCAGCCCTTGGATTCTTCCTCCCTACTGCTCTTCCAAGCAGGCACCAATGGCACAGCCAAGCTTGGAACTACCAGCTGCTCAGCCTCATCTTGATCCCTGGGAGAGCGATGGAGCAGCTCATCCTGGAAACCACTTCCAGGCACGTGAACGGCAAGAAAATAGTCAGGTGTAGTCAGCATGAATTCACCAAGGGGAAGTCATGCTTGACTCACCCAATAACCTTCTCCAAGTGAATGATTGCCTTTGTAGACAAGGGGAGAGCCATGGCTATTGTCTGCCTTGACTTCTGCAAGGCTTTTGACGCTGTCAGCCATAAAACGCTCACAGAGAAGCTGTTGAAGTCTGGGCTGGATGAGCAGACAGTGAGGTGAGTTGAAAACTGGCTGAACAGCTGGGCCCACTTACAAAAACCTAGTTGGAGGCCAGTAACTCCCAGTGCACCCCAGGGGTCAAGAGGCAATGGGCAGAAACTGAAATACAGGAGGTTCCCTCTGACCATCAGAAAACACTTTCTCCCCGTGAGGTGACCAAACACTGCAACAGGTTCCCCACGGAGGTTGTGGAACCTCCGACCCTCGGAGATATTCAGAAGTCATCTGAACATGGTCCTGGGTAAGCGGCTCTAGGTGGCCCTGCTTGAGCAGGGAGATTGGACCAGATGCTCTCCAGAGGTCCCTTCCAACCCCATCTGTTCTGTGATTCTGGGTTTCTTGAAGTCCCACAGTGCTGGGACACCAAGATTGCCCTTGACGCCCCCCAACCAGGCAGGGCTGTCACCACAGTCACTGCAGAGACTCTGGGAACACAAAAGGCGCCATGGATGAGAAGTGTGGGGTACACACCGCCACCCCAGCTCTGTGAGCAGGCCCTCTGCAGTCAGAGAAGCTCCCTAGGGTTGAGATGGGACTCACCGCTGCTCACAGGGTCGGGGGTCCCTGGGGACTGCAGCCACTGGCACCACCAGCCAGGAACCCCGAGACACAGGGCTGCGCGTTGGGTCCCTACACTGCAGCTCATGGTGCCTCCCCTCCTATGGCACCAACCTCTCTCAGGAGCAGCACCAGGTACATTGCTCCCTGTCCCGGTAGAAAGGGGAGCTGCTGGAGGTCTTCTCTGTTGAGTCTGCTTTGCCCATTAAGGTCACGGGTGAGTGATCCGCCTGTCTTGATCCCAACCCATGAGCTTTTTGTCTTATTTGCTCCCTCTGTCCTGTTGCCTTACACATAAGGGAGAGCACACCCCGGAGCAAAGCAGAGCTGTTTCCCCTCTCCTCCACGCTAAGCAAGCCCTCCGCACATGTTGCGTTGTTTGACGCAAGTGGAAGCTTCTCGTACCATGGGGTGCAGCAACAAGGAGAAACAAAGGTTGGGCTGGCAGGAAAGGGAGGTGGCCACCAATGATCGAAACCAAAGGAAAACAAAAGAAAACTCGCTTCTTTGGTCTGGCTGTGGGGTACCAGGGCCCAAACTCCTCATACTTTGATTAATGTTCCTGCCATGAGACGCAGGCTGATTCCCTCTGATGCGCAAACCAGTACCTCGCCAAACCATGTTTTCTTGCCATTAGGTTTTATTGTTGATTAAAGCACTAGAGAGGAGAAACGCACAGAATTTTTAGCGGGGGGAAAGCATAACCTCAGAGACCCATCCACACACGCACACATAGCCCCGCGCCATCCTGGCCAGTTGGCTGGCAGGACAGAAGGCACTTGGAGAGCAGGGTGCCTGGAGCAGACAAGCGTGGAGAGGGACCGCTGGTCCCCTCGACCAGCAGGCAGAGAGAGACGGGGTGTTGAAGAACGCAGGCAGGGTATGCCGAGGAAGTGCCAGGGCTCTTGAAGTACTGATTGTGGCCTTTCAGTAATTAAAGGAAGCCTATAGGAAATATGGGCAAAATCTTTCTAGTAGGGACAGCTGTGACAGAACATAGGGTAATGGTTTTAAACTGAAGCAGGGTAGGTTTAGACTGGATCCAAGGAAGAAATTCCTTACAATGAGGGTGGTGAAACACTGAAATGAGGTTACCCAGAGAGGTAGTGGAGGCCCCATCCCTGAAAACATTCAAGGCCAGGTTGGATGGTGCTCTGAGCAAGCTGATCCAGTTAGATCTGCTCCCTGAAGGGGCGTTGGACTAGATGACCTCTAGGGGTCTCTTCCAACCCAAAACATTCCACGATTCTATGATTCTAAGAAGACAGGAGGGTCTCCTCATGTGCTCACACCCACCACCACCCCAGGGTGATTTCACGAGAGCGGCCCCTGTCACATCAATTCCATGCCTTTCTGAAATGCAACATTTTTGTCTTTTTATAAGAGGTTGGAGCCTGCAGGGCTCATGCTGTACAGTGCTGGAGGGTTCTGCTTTTCCAGGCCGTGCTCAGTCTTTCCCAGTCTCAGCTTTAGGGTTGGGCTTTTCTCCTTTTTGGGGAACTGCCTTTCTTGGTGATGCTCAAAGCCATCTTCTTCCAGCTCTCAAGGTTACACTTCCTTGGTGAACAGTACCTGACCACCAGTGAGCTGTTTATAGTCCTGGGATGACACACGTCACGCCATAACAAGAGACCCCTGGTCCCCAGCTCTGGGTCAACCAAGTTCCCATAAGCACCTGATAAGCCTCCCCTGCTGAGACCAGGACCTTGCATGGCTGGCCTATGCGAAATGTAGTGTCAGCAGCAGTTGGCTTAAAACCTGTAGCGTGGTACAGGCAATACTGGTTTTGCCAGGCCGTTGGTCAACAACTCTTTAGGGGAATTGGACATCTCCTGATGTGGATGCAGTGGGAACGATCAGGAAGGAGGGCACAGGAGCTGGACCATGAATCGTCTAGGTGGTGCAGACCCTAGCAGTGAAAGCCCTCCTCAGGCTCTCCCTGACTTCATGGTTTCTCAGGGTGTAGATCAAGGGATTAGCAAAAGGAGTGATGACGGTGTAAAAGAGAGAGAAGAGTTTGTTCAGGGGCCTCAGCGTGTCAGTGTCTGGGAGGACGTACACAAAGATGATGGTTCCATAGTAGAGGGTGACCACAATGAGGTGGGAGGAGCAGGTGGAGAAGGCTTTGTGCCGGCCAGTGGAGGATGGGATTCTCAGGATGGCCGCTATGATGCACATGTAGGAGGTGAGGGTGAGGAGGAAGGGGGGCAGAGTGAACAAAGCAGAAAGCAGCAACGTCACCAGAGCCATCAGGCTGGTGTCAGAGCAGGACAGTTTTAACAGTGGGGTGAAATCGCAGAAGAAATGGTCGAGGTCAGTGGGACCACATAGGGTCATGCCTGACATCCAGTAGGCATTGGCAACGGTGGACAGGAACCCACTGATCCATGCCCCAGCCGCCAGGTGAAGGCAGGACCTGACCCTCATCAAGGCTGCGTAGCGCAGCGGTCTGCAGATGGCCACGTAGCGGTCCAGCGACATCACAGCCAGGAGACAGCACTCGGCTGCTGTCAGAGAACCAAAGCAATAGAATTGCAGGATGCAGCAGTGGATGGAGATGGCCCTGTCCCCCGTCAGGAAGCTGGCCAGCAGCCTGGGCAGGATAGTGGAGCTGTAGCAGGCCTCCAGGCAGGACAAGTTGCCCAGGAAGAAGTACATGGGGGTATGAAAGTGCCAGTCAGCCGCCACTAGCGCAATGACGGAGATGTTTGCAGCCATGGTCATGATGTAGATCATCAGGAAAAGCAGGAAGAGAGGAACCTGCAGCCCAGGGTGATGGATGAATCCCAGGAGGGTGACTTCTGTGATGGATGAGCGATTCCCCGCGACTGCGTTTTCCATGAAGGACCCTCTGGGGAAGGAAAACACAGCCTGGGGAAGATGGGAAGATGGTTAACACAGGTAAACCAGCAACCGCCTCCAGGTGGCCCTGCATGAGCAGTGGGCTTGGACAAGGTGACCTCCAGAGATCCCCTCCAACCTCAGCCATTCTGTAATTTTGGAAAATAGCGCTCTCCCCACTCCCTGAGTGGTGCTTTTCTGCACTGAAATCTCTTGAGCTCAGGCATTTTTTTCTTTTCTTTCTGTTCCAGGATTGTAATGTGCCAAACATTATGGCCTGATCTTACTTAATTACTGGTTTGGTTGGTGAAAAAAGCCTCCACCTAATGGAAGATTCCCTTATTCTTCCTACTTGTGATACCGGTGCTGTGTGTGAGGGACACAGTCCTGTAGGAAGGAGAATTGCTGTCTCCAGTTTCACTTAAGTTGCTTTTTAGTTGGGCCTGTTGCAAAAGGACGAGGGGCGATGGTTTTAAACTAAACCAGGGCAGGTTTAGACTGGCTGTAAGGAAGAAATTCTTTACGATGAGGGTGGTGAAACACTGGCCCGGGTTGCCCAGGGAGGTGCTGGAGGCCCCATCCCTGGACACGTTCAAGGTCAGCTGTGACGGGGCTCTGAGCAACCTGACCGTGTTGAAGATGCCCCTGCACATTGTGGGGGGGTTGGACTGGGTGACCTTCAGAGCTCCCTTCCAACCCAAGCTAGTCCGTGACTCTCAGTGATACTGCGCCCCAGCGGACTGCTGCTGTGTGCCCCGAACAGCGCTCATGCACAGGGATAAAACCACTTTCCTGTCTGCTCACACCCGTTCACACACACGCGGCGAGCGTACAGAAACAGATGCTGAAACAGTGCCTGTCTCCGCTCCCACGCACAGCGGGACGTGAATCCCCACCCGCGAGATGCATCCACACAGGCAAACCCCTCTGAGCGTGCCCCAGAGTGCACCAAGCTTCACAATCCTGCGGGGGCCCACGGAGGCAGAGGCACACACAGATATTTGCACAGCCCCAGCCCGAGCATCACTGCTCCCCGTGCCAGCAGCCCAGCAATTCAGATTCCTGTCCCCTGCCTCCCCTTTGCTGCTTTGCATCCACTGCACATTGGGCTCCAGTGCTCCAGCGCACGCACACGGCCGTTCTGCTTTACCAGCTGCCACCGCATCAGTGCCAAGCGCCCTGCGGTCGTCCCGATCTTTGCCGGTCCCTCTTTAGAAGCAAAGGGGAGTA